GGGAGGGAAGGGGCTTGGAGGCAGAGGGAGGGAAGGGGCTTGGAGGCAGAGGGAGGGAAGGGGCTTGGAGGCAGAGGGAGGAAAGGGACTTGGGGGCAGAGGGGTAGGAAGCCCTGACATGTGGCACTGTTCCTGGGGGATTTGGTCTTGGCATTACCGCAAGCTGCTGGGATTTGCATGCTCACGGAGATCTTGTTTCTCTGACAGAGAGTTGGGGGGGGGGGTCAGCGCCTTGGGGAAGATGTCGCTGGGAACCCCCTGGAGTAACCTCACAGCCACGCAGAAGGCAATGGTGGTGATCGGGGTAACTGCTGGTGCAGTGGCTATGTACATCTTGTACAGGAGATACAGGGAGATGCAAGGTAAGACTCAAAAACACACAGCACAGGGCAGCTCGAACGCGCTGGCTTCTGCCGGCGCCCCTGTCCCAGTTTCCACAACCACCACCCCCACCCCCACCCCCACCAAAAAAAATGGAGTGTCCGCAGGCGCAACCACAGCAGTTCAACCTCTTTTGGAGGCTGTAGATCTGAAGAACAGAGGCCATTTGGCCCTTGGCTGCTGGGCCAATGTTCGGTTAGTCCCTCTGAGGGGTGCAGGTGTGTTGTCCTGGGAAAGTGTAGTCGCAGGTAGACAGGGCGGTGAAGGTGGTGTTTGGTACGCTTGCCTTCATTGGGCAGATCATTGAGTATGAGGAGTTGGGACATCATGTTGCGGCTGTGCAGGACGTTAATAAGACCACTTTTGGAATACTGCGTGCACACGTCTGGTCATCCTTCTATGGGAAGGATGTTGTTAAACTTGAGAGGGTGTAGCAAGGATGTTGCCAGGGTTGGAGGGTTTGAGCTACAGGGAGAGGCTGGGGCTATTTTCCCTGGAGCGTCGGAGGCTGAGGGGTGACCTTATATCGTGAGGAGCATGGATAGGGTGAAGGTCTTTTCCCCAGAGTAGGAGATCCCAAAAGTAGAGGGGCAGTAAAGTAAAAGTAAAGGTGAGAGGGTAAAGATTTAAAAGGGACCTAAGGGGGTATCCTTTTCACGCAGAGGGTGGTGCGTGTGTGGAATGTGCTGCCAGAGGAAGTGGTGGAGGCTGGTACAGTTACGACATTTAATCTGGATGGGCACACGGATAGGAAGGGTTTAGAGGGATGTGGGCCAAATGCTTGCAAATGGGACCAGGTCAGATTGTGACGTCTGGTCGGTATGAACAAATTGAGCCAAAGGCTCTGTTTCCATGCTGCATGACTCTATGACTCTTACGGAGTTTTGGTAGGGGTCGGAGTGGGGGGCTGGGTGGTGTGTTTCGACAGGGAGTGGCCCCCCCCCCACCACCAAATCCACAGCCTCCCCCACAAACCGTTTCCTTTCCCAGGCACTTTTCTGACGCCCCCCGCGTCGATAGTTTCTATCGCGTTTCCTTCCACTTTCCCTTCGTGCAGGTCAGAGCCGCTCGGTGCTGTCTGTCTCAGTCACATGTTGTGTTCTAACACAGGAGCAGCCCCTCGAGCCTGCTTCGCCATTCAGTTTTATCATGGCTGATAAGCTCAGTACCACGGTATCCCATGATCCCTTTACTCGCACGAAGACTCACCATGTGGCATCAGCCACTTTCTGCGGTTGTAAATTCCACAGGCTCCCTGGGTGAAGAAATTTCTCCTCATCCCAGTCCTAAAAGGGTTATCCCTTGTACTTAAACTACAACCCTCTGGTTCTGGACTCCCTCCACCATTGGGGCCATCCTTCCTGCGTTAACCTGTTAGAATTTTGTAGGATTCTGTTGAGGTCCCTCCTCATTCTCCTGGACTTTGAGTACAATCGGAACCGACTCAGCCTCTCCTGGAATTCCCGAGCGATCCTTCTCCATGCCCTGATGCTGTAGGTTGTTCTCTCTCTTGTGTAGACGAACACTGTGTGCTGGTGGGTGACAATCGGATTGCCATGGACATGAAAGTTCCTCGCGACGCCGTCAAAGTCATAATTGGACGCCAAGGCTCCACGATTAAACAGGTGAGGACTGAAATGACAAATCCCTGTTAGATTTGTTCCTATTAATAAATTGTCTGCCCCTCTCCGTACTTCTGCCTTCACCACAAGGAGGTAGCTTTCTGTCTAACCTTCAGAATGGACACCCAAACCCCACTCAGTGTTTGAAGATGCAGCAAACATTTTACTGACCAGGAATGTGTTGGTTGATTAAATATTCTGGATAATCGAGGAGTGTACACAAAACACCAGTAAACCTTGACCAATTGAAGCTTCAGGACAGGAATATCTTAAAACTATCAACACACCTCCTAAAATCAACACAAAAGTTCACTGTAAGTGTGTCTCACGCACACACATATATTGTTAAACCTAATTTACTGCACTTGGACATCATGGTACGTGTGGTCTGTAATTTTTCCTGAGTTTATCAAGAGTGCCAGCTGATAAGGTGCCGGTTATAACAACGTTTGCTGTAATTACAACTCTGTGCTTCCGCTGTCAATCTTTATTGCAGCCCGCGGACTAGTTATCTGTCCGAGGGGAATCGCTAGGATCTGTTGTCGAAGGAGCCAATTGCCCGAATATTTGGAAAAGCGAAACACGGTCGGGCAGAGTCAACATGGTTTTGTGAAAGGGAGGCTTGTTGAGAGGTATGGGTAGAGCAGGACCCATAGCTGTGGTGTGCTTGGATTTCCAAAAGGCACTTGGTCAGGAGCTAATTGAAAGGTTCCCACATGAAATAGGAGCTCGTGGTGTAAAGCTTTAACACGTTGGCATTCATAAGGAGGACTGGTTAGCCCACAGGAAGGCGAGAGCAGGGCTAACCGTCTCGCTTACAAGTGTTGGCAAGCTGGGTCTAGTGGATTGGTGTCAGAGCCTCCACTATTTACAATCTGTATCAATGATTTGAGTGAAGGAGCATTGAACAAAGAAGCCATTTGGCCCCTTGAGCCTTTGCCGTCATTCACTGTGCTGATCTGATAGTAACCTCAAACTGGACTCCCACCTAACCCCATAATAACCTTTCACCCCCACCCCCACCCTCTTGACAAGTCTCTCTACCCCTACTGTAAAAATATTCAAAGACTTTGCAACCATCCCCTTCTGAGGAAGAGAGCTCCAAAGACGTTCAGCTCTGAGGGCGAACCTTTTGTCTGAACTCTGTTTTAAGTGGGCAGCCCCTTACTTTGAGACAGTGAGACTCTGCCATCGTCCCTAGAGGCATCTCCAGCAGAGACAAGCCGAGTCTGTCTAACCATTCCTCATAAGACAATGTGCCCATTGCAGGCTTAGGCTAGTCATCCTGCGTTGAGCTGTTCCAATGAGCCTACACTCTTCGTTAAATAAAGAGACAAGTGTTACAGACACAGCCTTACCAGTGTCATACAGTCCTACAGCACAGAAACAGACCCTTCAGTCCAACTTGTCTGTACTGACCAGGTCTCCCAAACTATGCTAGCCCTGCTTATACAGTCCTACAGCACAGAAACAGACCCTTCGGCCCAACCAGTCCGTGCTGGCCATAATCCCAAACTAAACTAGTCCCACCTGCCTGCTCCTGGCCCGTATCCCTCCAAACTTTCCTATTCATATACTTATCCAAATGTCTTTTAAACGTTGTAACTGTACCCACACCCACCACTTCCTCGGGAAGTTCATTCCACACGCAAACCAAACTTTTTTATTAAAATCTCTCTCCTCTCACCTTAAAAATATGGCCCCCACCCTTGGGAAAAGACATTCAACTTATTTATGTCCCGCTTGATTTTTACAAACCTCTATAAGGTCCTCTCTCAACCTCCCACGCTCCAGGGAAAGAAGTCCCAGCCTCTCCTTATGACTCAAACCCTCCATTCCCGGCAATGTGACTCTATAAAAACCAAAAGGACTGCGGATGCTGTAAGTCAGGATCGAAAACAAAGT